GATAAATCAAATAAAAAAATAATAATAGCTGCTTAACATTTGATAAGAGCAGTTTAAATTTTTTATTCATATCCGCTATGCAACATAACGCCTTAGTATTCAATGCATTGCATAAATATTTTTTAAACTCAGCTTATATTTAAAACATATAATTTGACAAAGGAAAATACTTCAGAGAAAAAATTGAACATATAAAATAGACACTTAACTAATTTAAGTAGAATCTTAGTAGTATATATTAAAAAAATGTTAAAAGTTATTAAAAAGATATGTATAACACTTGAACTATGAATGGACACAAGAAGTAATTTTATTAATAATACTCACAAATATATTCTTGTATCCTTTTGCTTGTAACAATCAATCTCTCTAAAAGAAGAAAACAAAATATGTTAAAATAAATTCAAAGATTCTAGAGATATTTATCTTCATAAATATGGAGATCCTATAGATATTTTTATTCTAATGAAACGTTATTTACAAGGAAGTTCTATAGTGAAAATGTCTGATATCTGAATTCCTAGAGGAGCTTGAGCTATAACCACAAGTCTTTTGTCTAGATTATATTTGATGAATTTCAATACGTTTGGTCTTGTCATGCTGTATTGAATTATGAGCAATGCTCACGGCTGACTTGTCAAAATAAATTGCATAGGGATGTCAATGTTGATTTTAAAGTCATCCATAATGATTTTCATCCGTAGTCCTTCCCACATACCTTGAATAAGAGTTCGAAATACAACTCTTGCACTATAACGAGATACTTTATCCTGTTTTTTGCTTCTCCAAGCCACTAGGCTTTCTCCAAGAAACATATAATGCTAAAAGGTAGATTTTCTAGTCAATGATACATAGCATCAATATATATTTTAAGGTTCAAATTGTTTTCCTTCCTAAGCATCCAATCTCCAATTCCTAGGATAATGAATCATTATTAACATTTATTTTCCTTTACTAAATCTTTGTAATTCTGATGGCAAAACTTCTATATAGGTTGAACCATTTTTATCAAAAATAACGAGTGGAATTTTATTAAGAAATATTAGAGTTTATCTCTTTTATCTTAGTGAGAGTGATTCTCCTAAATTCTTGAGTGATTCAAAAACCTTTTGGGTTGTATCAAAGGACTTTCACATCCTTTGTGAGTTGTCTTCCTTGGGAAGAGTGATTCTTTCTTTCCACCTTATCACTAAATTCCTAAATTTCCTACAAGATTCTAACCATAAAGATCTTAAATCACCCTTTATGCAATTGAGATTCATATTATTTGGTATCAGAGCCCTGATTTAAGGGTTTGAACATCAAATTGATGGCAGAAGAGGAAGATTACAATCAAGAAGCAGGAATTAGTCCATTTCAAATGAGAGCATTGGTACAACATTTGGAAGGATTAATTATACGACATAACAATGAGCTCCATGAAAGATTGAACCTATTGGAGAATAGAGATCCCGAAGATGAAGAAGAAAGGAGAAATAGGAGAAGGAATGATGGAGTAACAAGACCTAGTAGGCTTGAAGGAGTCAAGCTTAGCATTTCTCCGTTCAAAGAAACAAGTGATCCGGAGGCATACTTGGAGTGGGAGATGAAAATATAGCATATTTTCTCATGCAACAATTATGAGGAGACCCAAAAGGTGAGGCTTGCAACTACAGAACTTTTTGACTATGCTCTTGTTTGGTAGAACAAGCTACAAAAGGAGAGAGACAGAAATGAAGAGCCAATGGTTGATACATGGACTGAGATGAAAAGGATCATGAGGAAGCGGTATATGCCGACTAGTTATTTAAGGGACTTGAAATTTAAACTCCAAAAACTTACTCAAGGCAACAAGGGGGTTGATGAATATTTCAAGGAAATAGACATGCTCATGATTCAAGCAAAGATTGAAGAAGATGAAGAGGTAACTATGACCCGATTTATTGGTGGTTTGAATATTGATATACGTGATATTGTTGAGTTGCAGGAGTTTGTTGATATGGAACAATTCGAGTGGAGCAACAACTCAAAAGAAAAGAAGTGGCTGAGAAGAGTTCTACTAACTTTGAATCTTAAAATTGGAAGGACAAAGGCAAGAAAGATGGGGTTGTTACTTCTAGTAGTTCCACACCTATTCCTATAAAGACTCCTTCAAAGTTTGAAGAACAAATCTCTAAAAGAAGTAGAGATGTGAAGTGTTTCAAATGTCAAGGTCTAGGACACTATGCTTATGAGTGCATTAACAAAAGATTTAAGGTTCTTTGAGAGGGAGAATATATAAATGAATATGAGGTTGAAGAGGGAGAGGAGAGTGAGGACATAGAGGAGGAGGAGATTTCAAAGGGAGATTTATTAATGAATAGGCGATTACTTGATGGGCAATTGAAGCCTATGGAGGAAAGCCAAAGAAAAAATATTTTCTATACTAGATGTTTAGTAAATGACAAGGTGTGCATGATGATCATAGATAGAGGTAGTTGCACCAATATGGCTAGTGCTAGATTAATGTCAAAGCTAAATTTACCTACTCAACCACATCCTAGGTTTTATAAACTTCAATGACTTAGTAAGGATGGAGAGGTGCAAGTGAGGAAGCAAGTTGAAGTGAACATTTCTATTGGAAAATACAATGATAAGGTACTTTGTGATGTTGTTCCTATGGAGTTCAGTCACTTACTTTTGGGGAGACCATGACAATTTGATAGAAAAGTCAATCATGACGGGTTCACCAACAAGATCTCTTTCATGCACTAAGACAAAAAGATTGTGCTCAAACCTTTGATGTGTGAGGATAAAAAGAAAATGAGAGAAATATTTTTTCAAGAAAAGAGAAAAAAAAAAACGTTAGTGAAACACTTAAAAAAGAAAAAAAAGTGATCAAAAGAAGAGTGAAACACTTGAAGTGAGGGAGAGCTATTTAGTCATAAAAAGTGAATATAATGTTTGTTCTACATTCAATTTGTTAGACTTATCTTTTTTAATGTAGATGACGAATCCGATTTGAGGACAAATCCTTTTCAAGAGGGAGAGAATGGTGTGAACATGACCTATGGTAAGGACTAGAGCTAGGGAAGCAAATGAAGCTCTTCAACAAGTATTGTTGGTTGACCAAATTGTGGTTTGGATTAATCAATTAATGGACTTTAGTTTGGTTTTATTGCAAGTTGTAATAAGGGCCTAATTGGAAATTTAGTTATTAGTCTTTGGGAGATCAAGAGGGTGTATAACTGATTGACTTTTGGTTGCCACAATTTTAGTTACAATCAATCATTAAGGAATTTTTAATTCCTAGGTTACTGGATCATTATTAGCCTTTATTTGTCTCTATTAAGTAGTTTTCAATTCTTAGGTTAATAAATCATTATTAATATTTATTTTCCTTTATTGAATCTTTGTAATTCTGATGCCAAAACTTCTATATAGGCTGAACCATTTTTATCAAAAATAACAAGTGAAATTTTATTCAGAAATATTAGAATTTATCTCTTTTATCTTAGTGAGAGTGATTCTCCTAAATTTTTTAGTGATTAAAGAATCTTTTGGGTTGTATCAAAGGACTTTCCCATTCTTTGTGAGTTGCCTTGTTTAGGAAGAGTGATTTTTTCCTTTTATCTTATCACTAAGTTCTTAAATTTCTTAACCCTAAAGATCCTAAATCATCTCTTGTGCAATTGAGATTCATATTAAGGACAAACGAAAAATAGATTCTATTTCATGAAAGCTGACACTATAGTAACAAATACTCGATGACTCTAAGGATGATAATATTTGTACCCCTTTTTGTTAGATGGATAACTTATGAAGACACATTTAAAAGTTATAGGACTAATACCATTTAAGACACGAGTGGTAGTTTATTAATGAGGTATTGGGAATAAACATTTCGAAAAAGAGAACACTAGTAACTTATAGGAGATGACAATTCTTTTCTTTCTACAACCCTGCCTTGTTGGGGATTGTTTACACATGTTAGTTCATGGACAATTATAAGGCAAAAATTTGGAGAATTCATGATTCACATACTTAGAACCATAATCAAACCTAACACTTTTGATACTTTATGAAATTGATTATGGACAAAACGGAAAAAATAAATATGATAGACCTCGAACTTACCTTTTATAATGTATGTCCATGTGACATGGATATGATTGTAATTAAAAGTAACAAATCTTTTTGTTCCAAAAATAGATTCTAAGCCATGTCCCTAAACTTTATAGTGAATTAAATCATGTAGAAAATTAGGGATGAATGGTGCTTTGGTAATTGACAAACATCACATTTGAACAACTCAAGAAACACTTTAGTAAACAAATTAGGGAACAAGGATTTTAGTAGATTGAATGGAGATGCCCAAGTCTTTTATGATTAAGCCATATTTGGTAACTTGCCCATGTTTTGGTGTTGCTTGTTGGCTTGTTTTATTGTAATGCATAAAAAACAACCCACTTTGCTCTCTAGCAATTCAAATTGTCTTCCTCGTCTTGCAAAACACAATAAGAGAACAATGTTTGAGTAGTCAAATCTTTTATAACTTTTTGTATGGATGCAAGACTATTATCCAATTGTTGGACATATAAAATATCCTTTATACAATCAGTGGTTCTAAAGTTATATTCGTAGATCCACTTATGGGTACATATCATAATTTGAAACTGTAATGAGTTGCTCTCTAGCCTTTTTGAGATAAGTTGAAGAGCATAGGAAATGGAGTAATGTGATGTGTTGGATTTTTGAGTCAAGAATCCAAACACCCTGAGAGACAAGGCCAGCAATATTGAATGAATTCTCACATTTCATGAATAGGGTACAAAAGCCTTACTCATGGATTCAATCATTGTTCTAAGACGATCAAGTTTTTCTCTTTATAGGCTTTCGTACCGAGATCTGATTGAGGCGGAGCAATGGATTGGTTTATTTTTTTCATGTTCTGAGGTAGTATGGTTTTCTCATCTATGAGGTTCTTCCATGCACTCAAGAACTTTATCCTTTTTGTGGAGTTTCGAACACGTTTCCTTAGTATGCAAGATCTTTCAATGTATGAACAATATTATCCACGGTTTCCCTTTGTAGAGGACTCTGCCCCAGTGTTCGGTTCTGTAGACCTCCTTCTCTATTATCATGGTAGAGTATGCTTTCCATGAAGCATCACAACCCTTCGAATTTCTTCTCTCCTTATGATGAAAAAATATTACTTATAGTGGTGACTATTTTTCTCTCCCTATGATTTGTATCTTAATTGGGTGTAGGCCACGTAGGAATTTGAAGATTATTCCACTTTCCACAACTTTAGCATGTGCGGTGGCATCTGCTCTACGCTCTTCAAATTTTGATACTGATCTAATTTGATCCGTAAGACACACAAGATTTAGCGATATTTATATACAGAGAGAACCCTTTTCCATACCGAACCACTTGCTGTCAATGTCATAGCAAGCAGCAAAATCCATCTTCAATGAAAAAGTGTTATTTAAGCCATCCCATATTTTTTAGTAGAGAAATAGACCATATAGTTTTGATTTGTCTCTTGAACCATGGAATGCCAGATCTAAGTCATAATTAGTGAATCTTCATTATCCCAAATCGCAACAATAGAATCATTTGACTCGTCCTCTACCCTCAATAAGGTCTAATCTCGATTGTCTCTCGGGTGGACATTGATTATGTGTCCTTGTTTCACTGTTTTGCATGGTAACGGATGCAGATCTCCCAAGATAAGGAGGTATGATACCTATTTGAACCATGCAGGGAAACAATAAATGATTTTATTCATAACAATCACACTAATTACATTCTCGTATTTCTTTATTTGTAACAAACAATCTCTCTAAAATAAGAAAATAAAATACCTTAAAATGAATCGGAAGATTCTAAATATATTTTATACTAATCAATACAAAGATCCTGAAGATATTTTTATTTTATTAAACTGCTGTTTACAATAGTATTAATTCATTGGAATTTGTATCTAAAATGTAGAACATAATAATGTCATTCTCTAAGATAGAGTACACTTACTAAGAGATTAATTACCCATCAAAAGGGTATATTTTAATGTATGAGTTGACCGATGGCGAAATCTTCACATCCGAGGTATATTGGATGCTTAAATTGTAATGCTTTACTATGTATAAACTGACTCAATGTGTATTTTATTTACATAAAATTGATGATTTTATTGTTCTGAAGGTTGCACGAGGGCAAATCGAGAAAGCTGGTAGTATTAAGAAGCGGCTTAACCAAGCAGCAGACGCCACAGATCCGACCCAGCCTACATTTGCTCAATCAGTACCATTTGCACCTTTCCAAACTACTGAAGATGATAACAAGAAGGCAGTAGCAGCTGCTGTTGCTGCTAAGCTTGCTGCATCTGCGTCCTCTGCCCAGATGCTTACATCTGTTCTTTCTTCTCTTGTAGCTGAAGAAGCTGCCTCCTTGGGTTCTACAGGATTACCTATTTCCAACCCAGAGAAAAGACCCAAACTTGAAAAACCAACGCCTGTTCTTGATGTTAACAGTTCTGATATGACCAACTCTTCCTTTTACGCTGCCACTATACAACAGCCATCACTGGCAAGTGTACCACTTTTACCGTCAGGTGGGATACAAACTGCGTCTCAAGCCAATCAATTACAAGCTACATTTTCTTCAGCCCCCCCTCCCCCGCCTCATTCTTCAGCAAATCAACCATCAAACCAATATGTCCACTCAACTGGTTTGATGGCTGGGGCAATTCCTTATGGATATGGACCAAATAGCTTACCGCCTCCACCTCCTCCTCCTTTGCCTCCACATGTGGCAATAGGGTTGTCAATGCCTGGTAATCAACCAGCACAACAGCAACAGCAGTCTCCACCTGGAGGGTTTTACAGGCCACCTGGCATAGGGTTTTATGGGCAAAGCCACCCATCAACACCACCACCGGTACCTAGGCAGTGAGCTTTACTTGAAGATCATTGGCCAACATTGTTGCAAAACCTTGTAGCAAGATCATCCTCTGGTAAATTTCTGTGTAAGCTGAGGATTTTCCGATAGGCTGTGTAATAATGTAAATTGTTAGTATTAGATGTGGCCAGAATTAATATGTAGACTGTACACCGCTGCCTTTTTTGCCTACTGTCCAAAGTCTGTCTGAATTGTAGGCTTTGATAGCTATAGTTGAGATCTAACTCGGCAATGTTGACTGTTACAAGAAAGTACCTCTTGGGGCCTTAAACTATTTATTCTGAACCATCATGGAGCCCTTGTTACGGTGCATGTGGACATCTTGTTTGTATGAAGCTGCCTGTGAGGGTAAACATTAGCAGATGGTGTTATTCACCTCTAGATGAATTTTCAGAGTTTCACCATTCTAACACCTTGGAGGTTGAATGTTAATGTAGATTAATACCAGTTGACAAATGTTGATGTTATTGTTTTAGGATTTTTATTTATGCTAGAGAATTTCACACTATTTAATATTCCCCTCCTTATTTCCTTAGTCCTGTTAGATGAAATTCACGTTAGACTAAATATGAGTAATTTTTCATTTTGTGGGTCCTATTAAAATGTGTTAAAAAAGAACGGCGGATTGAGTGCTGGTAGCATACTTTTACAAAGTTTTCAATAAAGTACAACCATTTTACCTCAAGAAACTACATTTGTTAGTTCATTTAAATAAAGTGAAGATATCTCACCTTGAAATTTTGTTAAAATTAACTGATGAACATGAGATAGTTTTACCATGTGGAAGTGTATTTTAAAAAATAAACTATAATAGTAGTATTTAATAAGAAAGTAAACGATTAAGATTGTAATTAATTTAAATATATATATATATATATATATATATATATATGATTTTTATAAATGTCTATCAAATTATGATGTACATTTGGTAGAAGATCAAACTTTTTTTATATGTGATATTTATGGTTTTTCTAAATTATAAATTTTGGTAATTATGATTTTTTATGAATGATTAATGTTTAATTCTTACTATTTTTTATTTATTTATTCATACGTGTGGTATTTTTTACAATATTAAAATCTTTAAATAAAGGTATTTTCACCACTTTCGAGATTAAATATTCATATATTCTTTTATTAGAGCATTATGGTTTATTTATACTGTTTACAGAGTTGCTATTTTTGGGTCTTATAATGCCACAAGTTTAACCATTTTATACAAAAATTCACTCCAATATTAAATTTTGTTAAAGTAGTTTTATAAGTTTTACCATTAACTCAGCATTAATATCTAAAATACTCTTTTCACTATTTTCTCTTGTTCAAAACCTGTTTTTTTTTTCTTAAGAAATGTTTACTTATTACATGACACAAACTTTTACTTTTAATGAGAAATCTCAACATTGCTTAACTTTAATCAAGCAACATTGACACACAATTTCACAAGAGATTACCACAAAATAAATAACTACAAAAGTAACCTAATATGAGTTAATTAAACAACCAAGAGAATTTATTGTTTTCAATTCAAAGTGTTGAAATGTATGCTTAGAATTATGCAAGTAACATGTATTTTTTTTTTTTTCTCTTAGCAACTTTAGAATTTTATATTATGTTTATTTCTAAAGAAAAACGAAATAATTTTATTAAAATACAACCTACTACACAATGATAACACGATTTTGCTTAATACAAATAACACTTGTAACATGATGATAAAAAATGAAATAATAATTATTAATAAATAATAAATAAATATAAAAAGAGAGAGTAAAAGAACATGAAAAGTGAGATTAAAATTATAAATACATAATTTTGGGATTGACCATACATACATCTCACTTTTAATACCATTCTTATAAAAATAAAATCGTGATTTTTTTCCATATTTCAACTAAAATACCTTCCTTATAACTAAGTTTTTTATTTCTAGTATGGTTATGATATGTTGGAAACCTATTTTTCCTAAAAATCCATCTAACCATCTATTTTTATATTATTATTATTATTATTATTTTATTTTCTATTAATCAATTAAGAAAATAACATTTTAAAATTATGTATGAGATGTTTGGAAAAATTGGGTCAACAAATCTTTACACAATAATAGATTTTCTTTTGCTCCTTGTTATCTACCCATGAGCAATGCCATGCTCATCCAACTTGTTTTTACCCAATTCTTCACCTCAATACCCATCTATTGATTATTGTAAAAGTCAACTTTTCAAGATATTACCAAACTCCTGTATATGTAGTGGCTTTGATTTACACTTCCATCGTATAATGTCCTTAAAAGACTTCATAATAACATGCAAATGAGACATATAACTAAAATGTGGAAGGAGTTGGAGAACTTCAAGAAGTGAAGCTCAAAAAAATTGGATGCGCTCAGATAAGGAAATTCCCATATTCATGGTATTGAATTTAGTGAATGCTCTTCCAGTGATAAAAATATTCTATCATAGGTTAAATGAAAAAGAACATAATTTTTGTAGAAAATGAAATTAAAACTATTTTAATTACATAAAATGTATACAAATTAATTTTATTTTTGTGTACTTTAATATAATTAATTATATGAAATAGAAATATGATAAACAAATACTTAATCCAATAAACAAGCTAAATAAAATTTAATTAGCATACTAAATTAAGAAAAAAAATTATATTTACTAAAAAATATTTTTTATTTGTTTATTATAACTTTTCAAAAGGATCATAACACGAAAAGAAAATTAAAATGTGATTATAATAAGAAGTTATTTAAAACCATTTATCCAAAATATTTGTTTCTAAGAAATAATTTTCTTAATTTCAACAAAACTAATCAACTACAATTTTTTGAATATTTTAAAATATATTTATGTGTATAATTTATAATATATTTTATAGTATCATAGAGCAGTTGGTAAATAGCTTTTTTCAGGAAGTGACACACAATGAATAAGTCACCGACTAAAATAGAGTATGACACCAATTGAGACGACTATAAATTCCTTTTCATGGAAGCAAAAATTGGGAGTTTCATTTCATTTCAATTCATACATTAATTCTCCCCTTTCCTCATGCTTCTCCTAAAATTGAATCGTTCCAAAGTCAAGAGCTAGCACACCCAGAACGCTACTGTTGATTTGGTAACACACACTATCTCTATTCATTTTTTTATTCTTCCTTTTCCTTGTCAAGCACGAAAAGCAATAGCAATAGAATTAAGCAAAGCCCCCCTTTCTTTAATTCTTTTGTATGACTCATCACCCCAATTTTTATTATTTTCATTTTCATGCGACGATTCCTTCCCTCTTTGAAATTCAGGTATTTTAAGAATACCCCACTTTTTTTATGTTTTACATTTCAAATTATTCGGCTCGGCTTAAATCGAGAAGAAAAAGTGTTTTTTTTTTGAAATTATTATCGGTAAATTGGACAATGTTAGGGTTTATGCAATTTCTATTTTTATCGATTTATGGACGTTCTCTGTTATTGAAATTCAGTTTTGTTATGGCTCTTGTATCCGGGGTTAGGGAAATTAGAGGGGATTAGCCCTTGCTTTGGTGTTTCTCAACATCTGAAGCGGATTAGAAAAATGCTTGTGACGTGGGTTATGGAAAAATTATGGAGCTCTAGCTCGTGTGATGCATGAAAATTGAAATTAATGTTTTTTTTTTGTTTTGTATTTTTTAGAACATTGATGATGACAATGCTCTTTAACTTGATAGTTGTGTGTTCTAAGAATGGTCTCTTTTTGACTTGTAGGCCGAACTATAGTAAAGAGGAATACTAATGTCTTCGAGATCGTTGAGGAGAAGACTCCATCATGGGGATCTCGATGGCAAAAGGCAGGAGCATTTTGATTCTTCGGGATTAGATTCTTTGAGTGAGCCCCTGCTGGCAGATGATGATTATACTGAGACTAAGAAGGTGAGAAAATATTATATTTATGTGGGTTGGGGGGGTTGAATTCATTTTGTGGTGTTATGTTTTTCCATGTCTTTCAGATATGTACTCTTGAAGATCTATGGGATGATGAGAGGAAGAAGGCACAGTTTCATTGGACATTCATTTTCTCAAACCTCATTGCGCAATGGGCTCAGTGGTTAGGTGTGTGGTGGATACTGTTTTGGGCCTTTCAGATACAATTAAGCTTGATAGTATCAATAATTGAATAGTAGGCTGTTTCGCCAATGTTAGCATATAGCAATACTTGACTTCTTTTTTCTTTATGAGTGTTTTCATCGGCTACAATTAACCTAATGGTTTTATATTTATTTTCCTATGAGGAAGTTGTCTAACATATGTCGACTGACATATGTTTTATTCTCAAAGGAAACCCTTCATTTAATGTTAAACATGATTCTTGTAATAATAGTTCACACGTTTTGTGGGAAGTGTTCGTGGACATATTTTACCAGTGGTAATTATGGGGAATCCAATGTTTTTGGCACCCTTCAAGTGATGAAAGTCAATGATCTTTTTTTCCCTTTAAAAAGGTCAATCTTTGGGCTGTGAACTTTGCATTATTAAGCATTTCTGATGGAACTTGTAAGTGTCAGTTGACTGAAGTGATGGAGAAAGATGATTGATACTAGGCTGGTTATTAAGTTTGGGGACAGAATCATGTAGTGATTGGATCACTTAATGAGGTTTTTGCATAGAGATAAAAGGGAAGTATTTATTGGGATTAGTTTTTGAAATAAATGAACTTACTATCAAAGAATTGTTCATAATATTCAATTTTATGTATATTTTTATGACGCTTGAAAAAAAAAATTACCCTATACTATAAATAGTAAACATCTGGATTTCATGTATTATTATCTCTATCTTTTCCTCATTGCTGACTGGTGTACAAATACAAGACATGCGGCATGTGATGATTTTAATGGTGATTTTGTGACCTTTAACCTTATTTAATTCGTATTGTCTTTGCAGCAAATGTTGTAATAGGATCTGGATGTATTATTGGGCGTATTTTTTCTTTTTCTTCTGCCACACTAAGTATGCAAAACAAAAGGACGCTTCCTCCATCTCTAAGCCCTCTGCAGGTATGTCTAGAGAAATCTTATTTAGAATTCTGATGTGCTTGCTTATGCCAAAATCAAGTAACCAAATTCTGATTAAATTCTTTGGCAAATGTTCATTAAATTTGTATTTTCTATAATATAAACGTTATCTGAAATACCGTTGATCTAAATTATGAATTATTGTCAATCAAATCAAATCCCCAAAATCTACCACCCCTCTTTTATGAATGAAATGGTGCCAGGGTAATTTTGATTATGTAATCACGAATGTGATTGGATATTATTGCATTGGATTCAGTTTAATATTACTGCACAGTTTCTTGAATGTTTGCTGTAAGGCATAGGTGGGCAGTCAGTATTTCTTTGAAATTTGATGATATGTATTTGCTTGAATTATAAATGGTAAATTTTGCATGGAAAAAAGCAAACTTCGAGATTTTATGAAGTGTTCTCCTTTTGTAAATATCTTTACTCAAACATCTGATCTGTTGAGATTTTTGTTGTTTTGTTGAGCTTTCGTAATCCTTTTAACTGATATGATTGCTGAGGTATGTTTGTTTGTTGTTGTTGTTGTTTATAAGAATATTATTATATGTTATATATTGCTAGTTATTGTTTATATCTTCTGGATGCCTGCTTTTCTTGTTTATGGCAATTTCTAATTATTCATCATGTATTTATTTTTCAGGAAGAAAGACTGAGAAAACTGCGGCAACGGCTTGAAGTCCCGTTTGACGGTTCTAAAGCAGAGCACCAAGTATGTGCCTAATGCGTTTTTTGTTTTAAATTTCATATCACTTTACTGACATTTGCTACCGTATTCTGTATCCTATCTGCTTTATTTTTAACTTGTTTTGATTCTGCTGTTATCTTCATGCATAACTTTTGATATAATGAAGCTGACTTTCTATTTTGTTCCGCAATCTTCTTGCATGCTTGATATGCAATCTTAATGTGTTTGAACTGGAATGTAAGCATGACAATTGCTTGATTTGCAAATGCTTGCATTCAAAGATAGACAAAATTTAAAATTAAATTGCCGCACATGGATAAACTGAAAGTTGGACAGGCTCAATAACTATTTGTTGCATGTCTGTATAGGATAGGTATCTTATCTACCCATAGGATGTTTTCCATGAATTTATAATATAAATAGTCAATAGAATGTCATATTTTCGTTTTACTGACAGTAGGATGTCTTTTTCAATCTTTTTGGGTTGCAGGATGCACTTAAAAAATTGTGGAATTTGGCTTACCCTGACAGGGAGCTTCCTTCACTTAAATCAGACCTTTGGAAGGAAATGGGATGGCAAGGTTCAGACCCTTCAACAGATTTTAGGTGTGTGATCAAAAACATGCATTATTCATTTTAGGAGAGAGGATGGGAGCTTGAGTATGGATAGGGTGTTATCCACTCTGTTGATTGCTTTAATAATCATGGGGGCCAACACTCCTTTGTAGGCTTTGTAGTCTTCTAAATGTTCGATAATTCGATTTTGAATCTTGGAGTGTAGTTTCTAGTGTATTGAATTGATTGGTTATGGAATAAGCAAGTTCTTTTCATAGAATAAAGTAATGGGACAGTCTATATTGATATATTTTTCAGCAAAGTATATCCAGATAAACTATTTTTTGACAAGATATTTCTCAATCTTACTCTTGATCTACCAACAATAGTTTCCTTGAACTCTCTGATCTTTACACATTCAATTGCATATTCTTTTCTTTTCTGGAGCATTATGATTAGTAACTTCTAATCATGTTCTGCAGGGGTGGAGGATTTATTTCATTAGAGAATCTCATCTTCTTTGCAATGAAGTATCCAGTAAGTTTCTTCCATTGCATTTTCATTCATGCTTACATTGCCCTTGCTTAATGAGTAGGTTTAATATTTTTTATCAATACATTATTTTATTTATTCTCCCTTTCATTGTCTTTAAAGTTTTATTTTGCTTACTGATTTTCCTCTCAAGGCCTAATTCTATCTCTATCTTTGTAAAAAGAGAGTGCTTTACTCTATAACCTTTGTTGTGCACGATTGAAATTGGCCCATAATTTATACACTTGTGCACTTTGTCGTACACTTCTATCTAGCATGGTTTTGGTTAGTTAAGCAAGTTTCTACCTGTCGCTGTCATAGGATTCATTCCAGCGATTATTGCATAAACAAGATGGAACCAGAGCAGAGTGGGAATATCCGTTTGCAGTAGCTGGAATCAACATTTCTTTTATGTTGGCACAGATGCTGAATCTTCAAGCAGGTAGTATATATTCTCTTAAGAATAATTCAGTGTTCGCTTGAAATTATGGTTATTCCCTTCTATACAAGTAATTTAAGTTATTGGAGAATCTTGTTTCACCAAGCCACCACCACAGATTAATATTATTTTGGGGGTTCCATCATATATGTAAACTAATCTGATGCAACTATTTTTTCCTTGCAGGGCTTCCATCTTCTATGTCCGGTATCTGTTTTCTCAAATTGCTTGAAGAGGATGAAATGGCATTTGATATCCTTTTTTGTGTTGCTTTTCAAATGATGGATGCTCAGTGGCTAGCAAAGCGTGCGACATATATGGAATTTAATGTAATATATCATTATATTCTATGTTTATTTCTTAATTATTTGTATTACTCTGATAATCTTAATTCATCATAACTTTTTTTCATTAGGAGGTTTTGAAGTCCACAAAAGCACAGTTAGAGCGTGAGCTTGCTCTCGAAGACTTATCCAGCGTGAAAGATTTACCTGCTTATAGCATGTTGAGATGATTGACAATTGTCATTTAGGTCAAAAATTTCTCTTGCTTTGTTTTTCATTTGGCGGAGAATGTTACATGAAATGTGTCTATTTGTCATTTAGTCTCTATATACAGAAACGTGAAAATCCAATGATAGTGGCATGGCAAAAATCAGATAAATCTTTCTGTTAATTTCCAGTACGCATGTATTTAAACATGTGTATTAGCAATTAGAAAGTTTATAATATTTCTGGTCCAATTAATTCCTATAATTCAAGTATATTATCATGTCATGTATGACGGATTGAGCAAGTGCAAAGGCCCCATTGCCGTAATATATATTTCTAAAAATAGATTAAAATCTGAATTATTTGATCACGTATAATAATAATCATACAATTTTTATTCGCAATATATAATGATATTTAGTAGTTAGATTATATTAATAACATATAACTATAACTTACTAGTTAGATTATTATAATATACAAGTATAATCTGACGATTCTTATTGTAACAATTTTATATAATGATACTTAAATGATAAAATTAATTAACACTATGGTTTTTATAAAGTTTTTATGATGTAATAATTAATACAAATTATAAATATCTTAACCGAATGTTTCTTTTTTAGCAAAAGTGCACAACCCGAATTCAATGATGAATTTAAAAAAAAGGTTGGATTTAATTGGGTAAAGGGGTAATCACTAAACGCAATGTAAGAACAGTTGGATTTAAATCTATTATTTTAAAATCCTGAATTGATTTACATATTCTTGTTTTAGTTTCAAATTGTATGTTCTAAATTATCGTAAACAGGTCATTAATTTGTACTCTTATCATTTTTAATTTCTTTGAGAGAAATATCAATTATGAGATCGAACCTTATTTTTTATTGCTTTTTTATTTATTTTATGATTTTATGGATTGTAGTTTATTTAAGCAACAATACCAAAAAATAACTTAGTGTTGTCTATTTTTAAAACATTTGAAACTAGTGCATGTAGTTAATAGAAACACTAATTCAACTTCTCTTTATTATTTAACTTTTAAGATGATTCGTCGAGAGAATGCATCTTAAAACATATTTTTTGTTTTCATTTTCAAAACCTTCATCTTCTCGTCTATGGAGTGTGCAATTTTTTGTATTTAGTTCTAAACTTCCCATCTTTTCTTCTTTATTTTCGTTAATAGTTTGAAACTAGAAGTTGAAACCACCCTATGATAATACTTATATTGCATTATCTTGTTTCATATATTTTAACAAAAAATTTTAACCAGAAAAATATCATATATTCTTTAGTTATTTATGCTATTTATCCCATTTCAATTCAAATAATTTGGATAAAGATTACTTTCTTCTTACACATTACAATATTTGATGTACGCATTTATTTTGAGTGGGTGATTATCTTTTTCTATGGATTTGTCTCAGCAAGATTAAATTATAACCTTCTATTTTTTATATCACGTAATCTCACTATTTTCATATAGACAGATACTTAGAGAACAATCGATTATCGAGGATACTTATATTTTAGAAAACCTATTTCCAAAAGATTTGTACTTAATCATGTTTCATAAATTTGATATCAGATTGTAACTTGCTTTAAAGGGAATCTCTACTGAATAAGAAGCAATGAGAGGAAAATGAATCATATACCAATTAGTTGCGTAGGTATCTCAAATATACCATCAAAGCGTACCTTGACTTCCAACTGGAATACCAATGTTGAGATCATATTATTTATATTTTTCAGACTCTAACACACTCCCCAGTTGACAAATTTATTTGCCTTTATCGTGTAAAAACAATAGGATTCTATCTGAAACTGTTAAACAAATTCTTTAAACTAAGACACCAAAAGTTATAAAACATACCTGTGAGTACAGGTTGAACACTGCTTAGTAACAAAGAAACTGCTAACAAAGGTGACGATCACCAACAGCACTGGCCACATCTTCGTTTGAAGCAAACCTAATTAAAAAGGACGTGTGCACTGTCACATCTATAGAGAACTTTGCAGCTCTGTAGCTTCCTCTTCCAAGCTCATCTGCCACTCTTAACACTGCAAATTGAGAAAGATAAAGTTAATATTCTACACTAAACAAACAAAACAAATGAAAATAAATGATAACTTGATATATATAACTGGATCTGTCAAAAATTATGATGACTCATGGTTCGAACGGGGAAAATAAAATATTTAAAATCTAGTCGTGGTATCACTGTTTTGTTCATGCTTCATTTCGGTGTATAAAAAAATATTTTCTACTTTTACTTTATTTAAAAAATAAGATGTTTCTAGTTTTAGTTATGATATTTATGAATTAGTAGAGTTATAGAATTTTATTTCTATTAATTTTAAATAAAAGTTATCAAATCTCGTTAATTTATTACTTTTATTAATTGTAAAAAAATGACTTGATTATATCTAATAGATTATTTAAAAAATTTTATAAAATGGTAACAACACTCAATATAATACTTAAATTTAAGTTTCATGTAGTGATAATGGTGAGAAATAGAAAAGTTATGAATTCTAACGATATTTATAAGTTAATAGAATTATTAATCAAACTATTTGTCATAAGACATCTAAACAAAATGGGATTATTGAGAGAAAAATAAATATTTATTAGAAATTTTGTGTTTCATTGATTAAGACACACACGTCATTATGTTATTGGGAAGAAACTCTTACTTCAAAAATATGTTTAATAACACAAGCTCCTTAAAGTTCTATTTAGTTTAAGAAACTTTTTGAAACCCTTCATAATTTAACGGTCATTTCAGTAGTTCTTAATTTACCCTCTAATATATTTGGATGTGTTTCATTTGTTCATCTTTATAAGAATCAAAGAAACAAGTTGGTCCCACAAGTTATTGATGTATTATTTTCGAATATGTTGTACATAAAAAAAATCTTCCTACTAATCACATGTATATAACAAAGAACATGAGATTTTATGAAGACAATGTATTTTTTTCTAAGTCTGATTTTTAAGGAAGGAACTAACAAAAAATCCAAGAAATCTTGTATAATTTGGATATAAGTGATGTAATTTCATATCGTCACCCTTTAGGAGATGAAGTAGAAGAAATTGATATTGGATCATCATAAGAAACTTGTAGAGTTCACATTAAAATTTCATATGAATCTCTTATTGAAGATAACAATGAAACTCCATATGAATCTCTTACTAGAGATAACATTGAAGCCCCACATGAATTTCTTAATGAAGATGCTACAAATCATTTGTTGACCAGAAAATAATTGTCAAATCATCTCATTATAGATATTCCTAACTCTACTTATGAAAAAAATCTCTAGATTATAATTTGGATATAAGTGATGCAATTTCATATTGTCACCTTTTAGGAGATGAAACAGAAGAAACTAATATTAGATCATCAAAATCTTGTAAATTTGACATTGAAGTTTCATATGAATATCTTACTGAAGATAACATTAAAGCTCCACATGGATCTATTGTTGGAGATAACATTGAATCTCTACATGAACCTCTTAGTAAAGATATTACCAATAATATGTTGACAAAAAAAAAATGTTTATCAAATAGTCTTACTAGATTTATTCCTAAACCTACTTATGAACTAAAACTCTCTAATAAAGTTAAAATATCTTATGAGTCACTATGTATCTAATCATAACTTCTCAAAAGACAAAAAAAAAATTATGAATCAACTATCTAATGTAGATATCCCTAACAATATGCAAGAAACTTTAAATGGTATAAGATGGAAGAATTCTATAAATAAGAAAATGAACTCACTTCAAAATAATGATACTTAAACTCTTGTTGATTGTCTACTAGGAAAAAAACTAGTAGATGTTAGTAAATTTACATTATGAAATACAATGCATATGACACAATAATAAGATATAAAGCAATACTAGTGGCAAAAGTATATTATCAAACATTTGCACTTGTAGTAAAAAACATTGTTCGAGTATTATTGTCTTTAACAACAAATCTTGACTTACCATTAAAGTAATTTGATGTAAAAATGTATTTTTATATAGGGAATTAATTGAAAAACATGTATATAGCATTCTCAACAAGTTGCATGACATTATTAAAAAATAGAAAAAATTTGCAAATTAACAAAAAAAAAATCTTTGTATGAATTAAAACAATATCCACGAACATAATTTGAAAGATTTACAAAATTAATGACCATATTTGGATATCATAAAGTAATTTAGACCATACTTTATTTTTAAAGAAATAAGATTGTGAAAAAGTGAGGTACTCTTATTAGGATGTAAATGTCTTGATAAGGGCATGCTGACCATGTCAGGGTGGCATGGTTCCCATGTATCTCTGACATGTATGCATTCTGAAAGAAATGCAAATTAGAAACAAAATAATATGAATGAATATCAATATCCAATTCGAGTTGCAAACCTAAACATCATCCATGATTCAATAAATATCAAAACTAATCTTGACGTGACTCATGTAATAAGCATTAGAAAAAATAAAAGTTAATCACGAAATGAGATTGAATTATTTATCCAAACTAAAGATTTACAAAATGAATGTAAAATACATGATTTTAGCTTTAAAAAATATAATAAATACATTGAGAAAACATAATATAAGAAAAACTCACATTTACCCTTTAAGACATATATAATCTTAAAATAATTTATGTAGATAATTTAATTTTTTAATTTTGGTGAAACGATTTTAAATCTAATTGCATTGTTACCATATTAATTTTTATAAAATAATGTTTTAAAGTAAAATATATTAAATCACACTAAATATGCATATATTAACCAAATTTATGATAAAAATTATTGAAATTTCATTTATAAGTTATAATATTTTATATATGTTAGATATTGTTTAGATATTATTTAATATTGTTAAGATATTGTTAGATATTAACCATAATATCAAACAATAATATCTAATAATATCTTTTGTTTATTCTGTTACTTTTAGTTACTCTTTTAGTTGTATCTCTCTACTATAAATAGACTACCCTATGTG